TATGTAGCTACCGTCTCGTGTAGTGTCTAATGGTACTTAAAACAATTTTAACAGAGATAATTTGCTAAGTGGTGAAAATACAGCACTGAATAAAAAGATTGACATTTATATTTCGCTGCCTCTCTAATAAAATCTCCAAACTAACCATACAGATGCGTCAATTGAATGATCACTATAAGGTACGAAACACAACAACTAAAAATAGATAGTGGCAGTCGCAAATCTAAGGGAATGAAACCCCAAACTTCATGTTTCATGCGATGTACAGACATATACTGCAAGAACTTTTGAATTTCTTTTATGTTGTTTTCATCTGAAAATTAAAACAAATGAAAATAAATCTGAAATTGTAATGAGTACCATACTATTTCAAGACGAAAATGGGATTCATTTTAAAATGCGTGTAGGTAACTAGAAATTAAATGTTTACCTTTCTCTTCTAGGAGTTTCAGATGTAAAATTAGGTACAAGTGATCCACTTCACAATAAAATATCCTAACGAAAATTGATGGAACTGTAAAATGTAATATTATAGGTAACGAAAACACAGCTTGACTTATGATCAATGCCCACGGCGCCTGAAAAAGCAAAAACATATTTTCTATTCTTCTGCTAAAACCTCAAATATGAATAAACAATTGAATAAAAACACCTTATTTTTTTTGTGTCGATCGGCTTTGGCGATTATTAAATAAATTTGGACCAGAACTAAACTTTAAATAACACATTTGAAATGTAATCAACTTAATTTCGCATTATGAGAACCTGTCCATCATGAACATAAATTGTATCTAAACTTAAACTAAAGCGCTAAGAAAATTAATAAAATAGGTTCTCACCTCCTGTTGCAAATAAAGTATAGAATAATACAATGTAGAAAATAATTTAGGTGACTCAAAGATCACCTCAGCAATTATCTAAAATGATAAATTAAATGTTACATAAGTACGACATTTCATTAAGTACTAATATTTAATTTAATTAAGTAGGTACATTTAATTAGGTACAAATATATAAAGGGCGTGATCTACTCACAAAACTGAATAAGTTTTCTTATAAACTTTTCTTCGAAATATGTTATCTTTTCGGTTACAATGTTAATACAAACGAAGCAAGCGGAAAAAATTCACGCCACCGATGGGATTCAAACCCATGTCTTCTGACAAGCCGGGTCAAACGTATTGACCGCTACACCACGGAGGCTCTAGCCCAGGCGGCGAAATTGTGAACCACTTGCTTCGTTCATATATTTTTGTCACTTGACTACTCACGGGTAGCTAAGCGCCATCTATGACATTTTAGTAGAACTATACAGTCACGCAACTGACAACATCACGTATGTACAAGTTGACGAGAGATGGAGCTTTTTCCGATTTGTGAAATAAGAAAGAAAAGTTGGATAATATCCCATACTACGGCACACTTTTTCAACATGTACTTATTTATGAGAGGTCAGTAGTTTTTCATATTTCGAAGAAAAGTTTCTCATAAAAGTTGTTTAGTTTTGTTCTACATGTAAGTAATGTTCAAAATTTAAATGCATCTAATATCAACTAAATTTCGACACTACACAGGCAATTTACTTTAAAGGTCTACAATTAGCTAGAAGTGATTTAAAAACTTTCATCCTCACGACAAGAAAATAACACAAATATAATAAGTACAAACCAGCCGATCTATCAAAGGAGAAATTTTATCATAGCATGTGGTTAATTGAATATAATATTTCTGCATTTCTCTATAATGTATTTCTGATACGTTTGCAATGTCTTTTAGACGTTTTACGTAGAGGTACAGAAAATAATATATAATTAAAAACAAAACCGATATTGCGTCGATACACATAAATGACAAAATATATAATTCGAATGATATGTATTGTTTCTTACAAAATTGTTGCTCTAACTCATTGCAATAATATACCCCAACAACATACTGACACCCATATGATAGAATTACGTAAACAAGAATGAAGATATTAAATGATACGTTTTTGTAATTTTGCAGATCAGAATCTATATGAAGCAGGTTAACTATCAAATCGTAAAAATTGTAATGGGCACAATTAAGTATTATTAAATATACAGTATACTCTAAACTACCATTAAAAAGCGAATAACACTCTAAAAAATCATCGCAAACAAAAATTGGAGCACAATTAATCCCCACCATGAAAAACATCATAATTATTGTTATAATCTTTGAAAAAGTATGCCAAGATTTGTTAAAATATTTTAAAAAATCCAAAGTTCAATCCACCAAAAAAGTGTAAAAATAAACAGAAAGCTATTAAATATTGAGAAATTAAAGTTTTGATTTTCGGAACACTTGATGTTCTAAAACGTAACACGTTCGTTGTTTTGAAATAGTTATGTGGCTTATACATGGTTTAGTTTTAGTTATATTTCAGTGTTAGTAATTTTCAAATTATTAAATTATCTTTTGATATTGCCGACAAGCGAGGTGCGTATATTCTTCGGTTATTTTTAATTAATATTGGACTTATAAGAATAAGATTGTCTAACTAATCAAATAACTATCCGCTGACAAATTGTTATGGTTTTTATATAAATTGAGTTGATTATTCGGGTGGGTATAATTTATAGTTTGTATTTGACATTAACGTCATCAATCATGCGCTCCGCGAGTAGTCGCCTTTATTTGTTAATCAACCATTTAATATCACCAGCATATCCAATAGTCAAAGTCAAGTCAAAGTCAAAGCATTTATTTCTCAGTAGGAATTACAAGATTCGCTTTAAGAAAGTCACATTCTAATTCAAACTTAAAAAAGGGAAAATTTGTAATGCAAAATTTTCTCTTTTTTATAACAATTTGTGTTCCTACTCTTAATGCGGCTCGGGCGGGATAAAAAATAAAATAAAAATAAAGGCACTGCCTCGGGGCTGGCAAGGCTAACCAGCATGTATCTTTATGCCTCAATGAATGACAAGTAAATGAAAATACATTCTGTCAATGTTTAAAAAAAATGGTGTTACATGTGTATAGTTAGCCGGACCCCCTGGACAGGAAAACCCCCAAAAACCTGCCCGGAAGTGCACCTATTCTAAAATTCACAATACTTTTAGGCTCAATGCTACCCTAGCTAAATTAGAAAATAAATTAATAATAATAGCCAAAAAGGGTTCAACAAAATAAAAATAAAAATTACAGTATTCTAACTGGTCTAACTGATCTAATTTAAACTGTTTTGTCTTTAAAATAATAATATACTTTAAACATTTGAGCACCAAAATGTAATAGAAAAAAATAAAAAGTAGATTTACAGTAAATGTAAAAAATTAACAAAATAGAATGTCAAATAACATTAAAATAGCTAAGGGTAAAAATTAAAATAATACTAGGATATACTTAAGTATAAGTTGATCCCTTAAATGGGTAGGTGGATTAAATGGCGATAGTACCTACTCTGACATTAAAGTTCTTCAAACTTGGGCAAACTGAAAATATGGATGAAGCCTCAATTTTATTTTTCGAACATTTAATGGCTTTTATTAAATATTTTATTTTATTAAATATTTTCCTGATTTAAAGTATTATCTTGTTTAAAATAATAAAAATCAAGAAAAAAATATCTTATTAATTAGGAAAGTCTTTCATTTTATCCTAGCTATTCATAAATAAATTGCATATATACAATGTGTTTCTTTTATTCAAAAATATAACCTGAAATGATATTAACAAATACATAAATTATACACTAGCTAGTGCCCGCGAACTTCGTCTCACCAACGTCGTCTTTGCCAACACTATGATAAAAGTTATCATCATTTAGCTGTCATAGATATTGATCGGGATATTTGTGTGCAACTATTCCAAACATCAAAATACATCGTGATAGATACGTGAATTATGTACCTACCGTGTCATGTAGTGTCTAATGGTATTTAAAACAATTTTGACAGAGATAATTTGCTAAGTGGTGAAAACACAGCACTGAATAAAAAGATTGAGATTTACATTTCGCTGCTTCTCTAATAAAATCGCCAAACTAACCATACAGATGTGTCAATTGAATGATCACTATAAGGTACGTAACACAACAACTAAAAATAGATAGTGGTAGTCGCAAATCTAAGGGAATGAAACCCCAAACTTCATGTTTCATGCGATGGACAGACATATACTGCAAGAACTTTTGGATTTCTTTTATGTTGTTTTCATCTGAAAATAAAAACAAATGAAAATAAATCTGAAATGGTAATAAGTATCATACTATTTCAAGACGAAAATGGGATTTATTTTAAAATGCGTGTAGGTAACTAGAAATTAAATGTTTACCTTTCTCTTCTAGGAGTTTCAGATGTAAAATTAGGTACAAGTGATCCACTTCACAATAAAATATCCTAACGAAAATTGATGGAACTGTAAAATGTATTATTATAGGTAACGAAAACACAGCTTGACTTATGATCAATGCCCACGGCGCCTGAAAAAGCAAAACATATTTTCTATTCTTCCGATAAAACCTCAAATATTAATTAACAATTGAATAAAAACACCTTATTTTTTTTCGTGTCGTTGGCTTTGGCGATTATTAAATAAATTTGGACCAGAACTAAACTTTAAATAACACATTTGAAATTTAATCAACTTAATTTCGCATAATGAGACCCTGTCCATCATTAGCATAAATAGTATCTAAACTTAAACTAAAGCGCTAAGAAAATTAATAAAATAGGTACTCACTTCCTGTTGCAAATAAAGTATGGAATAATACAATGTAGAAAATAATTTAGGCGACTCAAAGATCACCTCAGCAATTATCTAAAATGATAAATTAAATGTTATATAAGCACAACATTTCATTAAGTACTTATATTTAATTTAATTAAGTAGGTACATTTAATTAGGTACAAATATATCAAGGGCGTGTTCTACTCACAAAACTGAATAACTTTTCTTATAAACTTTTTTTCGAAATTTGTTAACTTTTTGGTTACAATGTTAATACAAACGAAGCAAGCGGAAAAAATTCACGCCACCGATGGGATTCGAACCCACGTCTTCTGACAAGCCGGGTCAAACGTGTTGACCGCTACACCACGGATGCTCTAGCCCAGGCGGCGAAATTGTGAACCACTTGCTTCGTTCATATATTTTTGTCACTTAGTCTTGACTACTTACGGGTAGCTTAGCGCCATCTATGACATTTTAGTAGAACTATACAGTCACTCAACTGACAACATTACGTATGTACAAGTTGACGAGAGATGGAGCTTTTTCCGATTTGTGAAATAAGAAAGAATAGTTGGATATCCCATACTACGGCATACTTTTTTAACATGTATGTACTTATTTATGAGAGGTCAGTAGTTTTTATATTTCGAAGAAAAGTTTGTCATAAAAGTTGTTTAGTTTTGTTCTACATGTAAGTAATGTTCAAAATTTAAATGCATTTAATATCAACAAAATTGCGACACTACACAGGCCATTTACTTTAAAGGTCTACAATTAGCTAGAAGAGATTTGAAAACTTTCATTGTTGACCCTCACGACAAGAAAATAACACAAATATAAGTACAAACCAGCCGATCTATCAAAGGAGAAATTTTATCATAGCATGTGGTTAATTGAATATAATATTTCTGCATTTCTCTATAATGTATTTCTGATACGTTTGCAATGTCTTTTAGACGTTTTACGTAGAGGTACAGAAAATAATATATAATTAAAAACAAAACCGATATTGCGTCGATACACATAAATGATAAAATATATAATTCGAATGATATGTATTGTTTCTCACAAAATTGTTGCTCTAACTCATTGCAATAATATACCCCAACAACATACTGAAACCCAAACGATAGCATTACGTAAGCAACAATGAAAATATTAAATGAAACTTTTTTGTGATTTCTCACATCAGAATCAATATGAAGAAGGTTAACTATCATATCGTAGAAATTGTACTGGGCATAATTAAGTATAATTAAATATACAATATACCCTACAATATTACTCCAAAGCGAAAAACACTCCAAAAAATAAAAGCAAACTAAGACTGGAGCACAATTAATCCCCACCATGAGAAACATCATAATTAATGTTACAATCTTAGCAAAAGTGTGCCAAGTTTTATTTAAATATTTTATGAATCCAAAGTTCAATCCAGCAAAAAAGTGTAAAAATAAACAGAAAGTTATCAAATATTGAGAAACTAAAATTTTGATTTTCGGTGCACTTGGTGTCGCAAAACGTAGCACGTTCATTGTTTTGAAAAAGCTATGTGGCTTATACATGGTTCAGTTTTAGTTAGGTATGTTTCAGTGTTAGTAGTTTCCAATTTATAATATCTTTTGATATTGCCGACAAGCGAGTTGTGAATATCCTTCGGTCAGTTTGTAATTATTATTGGACTTGTAACAACAAGGTTGTTTAATCAAATTAGTGAACGCTGGCAAAATGTTAGTTTTTTACACAGGGGTGTTAATTTAAATGCGCCCCATAGTTTCAGACTAGTATTAGTATCGACAAAGGATGCCATAAAAAATTTAAAACAATCATGGGCAAAAAGAAATGTTTACGACATCCTTTATCTACACTTAACCTAGACTTATGCTATGGCACGCAATTAACACCCTGAATAAATTGGATCGATGTTTCTGGGTAGGTATAACTTCTTGTTTATATTTGACGTCAACGACATCAATCAACAGACGCCCCGCGAGTTGTTGCCCTTATTTGTGAATTAACCATGTAGGTATCTGTTGCAGGGATATTAAATTAACCGTGATATTGAAATTTCACTAGTGCCATTATAATTGCACTGATTAATTGTCAATCGTTTGCATTTTAACGGGCTAGTTTCAGTGACATTATAATTTCACTAGACCGATACAGTGAAATTGTAAGGCAGTGATATATTGACAATATCTACCTTTTCTGACAATGACGTTCACCAACCTTAGGCAAGCTTAAAATATAGATGAAACCTCAATGTTTTTTCACGATGCTTCTTGGCCAATTTTGTATATTTCAGGGTTCAATGTTTGAATCTTGTTTAAAATAAGGAAAATAAATACATTATCAACATTTTATAAATTTATTTAATTACTTCTTTTTTTATTCAATTAAGAGGGATCTATAGTCATTATTTTTCATACAAACGCTTTCAACGTATCCCTCTGCTAATTCGCAACCGATCGACTCAATTTTTGGCACGGTTACTCTTCTGGCCTAGATCTATGCTCCATATTCTTTTTCTGGTTGTAATAATGCATTAAAAAAAAGATATGGCCGTGGCAAAATGCTCTAAAATTATAACCAAGTTTACGCCTTGATATCTTCTAAATATGACAACAATTTCAGCAAAACAAATGATACGGGCATATAATATTTTATTGGCAGTAAAATAATGCCACTATCAACAAATTTGGTGGCGATTTCGAACGGGGAACCTGGTAAACCCAGAACACAAATTTTCCGGTAGCGAGCTATAACTGTCTCTTTTACGGTTGCGGGACGGGTGGGATGCATAAATGAGATAGAAAATTTTTTATCAACTGACAGCTCACGAACTTTCAGCTCAGTATAGTAGCCTCTTAAGTGATAATAAAAGATACAAACAAACATTTCCATAAATTATTTACATAAGGTGTAAAAATCAACTGTAAAATATTTTAATTTGTAAATCAGTCTAGATGAAACTGAACAACATTCCCTAAAGAACAGATTAAAACATGAAAAAAAAATTACCTTCATACTATACAAAATAGACCTACCGACCGATTTGATTTGTATGGAAGGGAGGTCCATATTAGGGAGTGCAATCTTGCAGCAACATCTTCAATCTCGGTATTTGCAAGATTGAAGACGTCTAATCTCGCAAGATCTCGGTATTTTGCAAGATCTCGCAAATTTACAAATATTTGATTTAATTTTATAAATATTTTATTGAAACTTGTTAAATTTATTATTCTAAGAGCGAATTAATGAAACAAGATATACAGGGAGTAACAGAAAGGGTATAACAAGCTGAAAGGAGGTCAAGGTACTCATGAAACTGAACAACTTTTCCCATGGGACATGGGTCGAAATATGAAAAAATATTTGGGCCTCCCATACAAAATCACCGATGAGCTAATTGATTTACTATGGGAGTTCCAATTTTTTTTTCATATTTCGACCCATGTTCCATGGGGAAAGTTGTTCAGTTTCATGAGTACCTTGACCTCCTTTCAGCTTGTTATACCCTTTCTGTTACTCCCGGTATATTAGAAAAAAACGAAACATTTATTAAATAAAATTAATGGTTATTTTGGAAAACACAAGATATCTAGCGTGTTGTCAGCCAACTTCGGATGCTTCGGGCGATATACCCAGCAGCAGAAAAAGCCCGTTCAGCTTCTACACTTGTTGGCACAACTGATGATAAGCATTGATAAGCTGACTGCAAATGCTGCCCTTTTGTCGCACCTGATTCGTAGAGATTAATTTCTTGTCTTAAATTGTTTATCTAATAAGGAAACAGTTGAACATGAAGGGCTTTCAAAATCATTTCCAATTCTTCATCAAGAGAAAGAGTTGTGTTTGCGGCTGCTGATAAAGGTGTGATATCGTCAATCGAATCTCGAATGCGTTGCTGTCCAATCTTGCAAATCTTGCGAGATCGCGCGCGATTTTGGGTGCAAGATTAATCTTGCAAAATTTGTGCGAGATCTCGGTATTTCGAGATCTCGCAATACCGAGATTGCACTCCCTAGTCCATATTGTTATCTTTTTCTTTTTTGGCTTTAAATTAGATGGGGAAAACTGTTCAGTTTTATGGATTGGTTCACTAAGAATAAACTGGCCTGTTTGGTTAGATATTTGACACACAAATTATCTTACTGTAACCGGCGACAATTTTTGTTACTGTTATCTCCAAGGGGCTGCCATCAAAGTAAAAAATAATAAAATTCTTGAGGAATTAAGGGTGATTGTTACATGCAAAGTTGACCGAAGACGTAAACGGGGCGCGTGTAAGAACACGATGCTACCCAAATTAAAGAAAACTTTTGTTTTTGTTGCTTTTTCATTCTCAAATGGTTTGAAGTACCTAGGTACTTTGAAGGATTTAGAAATAAATGTTCTAGGTGAAAATTCAGTCTTACACAAGGTTCTCACAAATAATTAAATATCTTGCGTAAAGGTAAATAACGTTGCTGTTTCATGTAAAAAAAGAGTTGGTAAATCATGAATTTGTTTTACTGATTGATGTATTTGTGTGAGATCAATTCCATCGGCAAAGTGAAAAGTAAGCTATCAGCCAGCAGATCCCTGTGTAAGCAATCAAAGTGAATGCAGATAGTGAGCGAATACCGATTCATTTCATTAGTCTGATGGGCTTTGATGTAATCCTCCCTCAAACTAGGTATTTTTTTAAGTTCTAATTTTATGTTGATATCACTTTTATGGCGAAGGAGATTATGGTTAGAAACCTGTCTAGAATTATACATAAAATGATAAAAGGGAATTTTCTTCATTGACACTTACTATTTTCTGTAAAAAAATTACCACCATTCCTAATAAAATCTCGAACTCAAACCAAACTTTAGAGGATGTTGCATATGAATATTTTCGAGAACTTGTAAAATTTACACCACAGCCGCAGGAAGAATTCTTCTAAACCTCTAACCAACTAGGCTGCCGCATACTAGACATGAAAGAGTGTTTTTAAAGTTGGTTTTTAAAGTATGCTGTGAGTGAAATCCTAAATTGTCATGGAAATAGGTACCTATTATTCATAAACAGCAGCACATCAACCTTTAAAGGTGATTTCCTATTTATCTATATTAGTTCCTTCAAGTTACTAAAAAACAACTATTGCTCGGTTGCCTAAATAGTTAACTACGTTGACAAACCACCGAACTGTGTGGGTGGACCGACATACTTTTCTCGCCACTGAATATCAGTCGGTGAGTTTCTGAACGCGGTGTTATGACGTAATCAGTGTTGCGGTAGTGATGAGCTTGTGGTGAGTCGCGTGCTCTGAACGTGCCTCGAATTGTCACTGAGTTTGCATATTTGACTTTTACCACTAGCCATCAGCGTACACACTCGTACGTT